GGTTAAAATAAAGTGAGATTTTACTGATTGGAGCCACAGAAATAATTTAATATGAAAGATCAAATACCTGGATATTGATATTGCCACGATATTGTGTTATGTACTCCTGGTGTGTTCACAAATCATTGGATGTGTGGATAGGACAACTGACTGGGTAAAGACAAATAATGACAGGGCACCTCTTATCACGGTCTGTTTATGTTTCAGTCTTATTTTGAAATGACCTCTTTGTGTCTTGTCTAGTTTTAAGGCCCTTACACACCGAGCCGATTTCGGCCGTCGATGAGCGTCCTGTCGCCCTACTCAGATTGGTGTGTCCCGCACCGTTGTGTCTTTTCGGCCGTGCCGACACCTTCCGCTGCTGATTCAACATGTGGAATCGGGAGGCTGTCGGCAAAATAAATCACTCTGATTGGCTGTTCAGCTTAGCGAATCAGTGCATGAGAAGCGAAACAGAAGTGAAGAAGGCACACACAGACGGCTATTATTTTTCTTTTTCCAGTAGTACCGCACTAAACATGTTTTCGATTATAAGTCGTTATGTGAAACAGTCTGTGATGGACGAGAGTGAAAATGGAACGCACGCTATTTTTTTGTTTGTATATGTCACTACCCGATCTGCAGTTCTGCCCGATCTGCAGTGCGCATGTGCGAGATGGTCCGCCATAATGGACAACTCCGTACGGCAACCCAAGAAGGACACTTGACACAGTGGCTTTTGGCAAAGCTCAAAAAGAAAACTCGAGAGGGATGAGTTATTGTTATTACAACGTGACTTCAGTATTATTTAACAACTCTTTTCATTGGGTTCTTTTATTTGGGTTTAAGTAAATTGTCAGAATAAGTGAGAAATGGATTTAACTTCTGTTAGACATATATGCCATACATTTTTGCATACATTCACAGTAAATATGTATTCAGTATGATAGCTGTTTAACAGAAGTTAAATTATTTTCTCACTTATTCTGACAATGTACTTAACCGCAAATAAAAGAACCCAATAAAAAGAGTTGTTAAATAATAGTGAAGTCACGTTGTAATAACAATAACTCATCCCTCTCGAGTTTTCTTTTAGAGCTTTGCCAAAAGCCACTGTGTCAAGTGTCCTTATTGGGTTGCGTACGGAGTTGTCCAATATGGCGGACCATCTCGCACATGCGCACTGCAGATCGGGCAGAGCTGCAGATCGGGTAGTGACATATATATCACGCAGTCTGTCTTCCGGTTGTTGCCTCTTTTGAATGACGAATACACACTACCGCCGCTTGCTGGTAAGGAGAGTTATTGCCACTCACGCATGCGCAGTTCGTACGTTCTACTTGGCCGTCGGCTGAAGTCTTTGCGGTGTGTTTCGGTGCGACTTTTTGGCCAAGATGCAGGAGACGTGAGGCGACACAACAATCGGGTCCGTCGGGACGTGTCCTTTGGTGTCAGTTTGGTGTGTCAGGGCCTCACTTGTCTTTAGTTTCCCGGTGATTGTCTGATTGTGTTCACCTGTTGCCCTTGTGTTCCTCAGCCCTAATTGGAGATCATCTAGTATGAGATCACCTTAACAGCTGTCTGGAAGCAACCGGATTTGTATAATTAAATAAGAAATAATACAACAGGATTTTAACAAACAACAGTCTTCGTTACTTAGCTGGATTCGATTGTTACACATTTTAGTGTTGCCAGTTTAGTGACCGAGTTAATATAATAAATCAATTCATCATCACGGTAATAATTCAAGCCAAAACACTAAATAATCTCTGATTCCAATTTGTTAAATGTCCCTATCACTCAAATCTCAGATGTCAGATTGTCTTTGAACACTAAGCAGTTACCCAAAGTCATTCATTTTGATAATGTGATCAACGTCCTTGATTTTATTAGTCATACGAGACAAACACTGCACCAACAGGAGCAAGAAAACGACCATGTCTGTAGTACATCACGTCACTTTCCACAAAAGTTTGAATCTCTACAATGGTTACCGGAAAGCTTCTTTAACTTCAAAGAAGAGACTTTTTCCCAACGGAGTTTTTCTCCCCTTTAGAATTAAGTTAGTGTGTTGTGTGTGGGTGTTGCTGGGGTGGTGATGTGGTGTGTGTGTGTGTGTGTGTGTGTGTGTGTGTGGTGTGTGGTGTGTGTGTGTGGGTGTGTGTGTGTGTGTGGTGTGTGTGTGTGTGTGTGTGTGTGTGTGTGTGTGTGTGTGTGTGTGTGTGTGTGTGTGTGTGTGTGTGTGTGTGTGTGTGTGTGTGTGTGGTGTGTGTGTGGTGTGTGTTGTGTGTGTGTGTGTGTGTGTGTGTGTGTGTGTGTGTAGTGTGTGTGTGTGTGTGTGTGTGTGCTGTGTGTGTGTGTGTGTGTGTGTGTGTGTGTGTGTGTGTGTGTGGTGTGTGTGTGTGTGTGTGTGTGTGGTGTGTGTGTGTGTGTGTGTGTGTGTGTGTGTGTGGTGTGTGTAGTGTGTGTGTTGTGTGTGTGTGTGTGTGTGTGTGTGTGTGTGTGTGTGTGTGTGTGTGTGTGTGTGTGTGTGTGTGTGTGTGTGTGTGTGTGTGTGTGTAAAATGGAAGTGACGGCGCAGCAGCCTGCAGCGTTCACTCTGCTCACATCAAAACAACCAATCACAGTGTAATGTGTTCATTAACTACATGCTGCTCCATTTCTGAATATGTAAGAGAAAGTGAATAAGCATTTCAACTCAAGATAAAATATTATGCAGATTTTAAATTCAACAGAAAATTCTTCAGAAACTACTTTTACCTATTTTTATTTTTTAATAGTATTCATTAAAGGAACAAATACTGGGACATGTCTCCATGCTTTAATGTTCTCATACTGCCTGTGCTGCAGCACCTCTTTTCACCCTCTGTCTGAAACCAGAGCTCAGTCTGCTCTGATTGGTTAGCTGGCCGGCTCTGTTGTGATTGGTCAACCGCTTAGAGATGTCCCGCCCCTTAGCCTATCACGTACAATGTGTTGGAGCGCTAGCCAATAGAAGCGTGACTGTTACATAGTGATGTCATTATGTTTGTTTGAATAAGGGATTATTTGGGACTAACATGCACAGGAAAGGGAAAATAGGGCCTCTTTAATATCTGTTATCAGGGGATCCCTGTTAGCTGCAACCAAAGTATAAAGTCACCAATATCAATATATAAATCCACCCGTACCTGTAACGCCTTAAATGTCCTCGCTGCGGGACGAGAAAGGATTTCTGATTCTGAAATACTACTTTTTGTAGGATCTTTTATTTGATGTGGAAGACTCAGGTGACAAAACATAAACACAAACACTCGTGTACGCAGTGTTTCTCCTGCCAGCTGCTACCGTTTGTTTTGAACTCTCATGCTAAATATAACATCTGCCCTGATTCTCATACCGTTAGTAAACACAAACAACTGTCACTGAGAGGAAGAGGGGGAGGAGGAGGCAGTGACGCAGATAACCTCTGGGGTGCAGAGCGGTCTGTGGGGTGGGGGGGTCCTGCATCCTGCATCCTGCTGCCTAACAGCTGACTCCATCCTGCACAAACAGCAGAGTCATGGTAAAGGACACATGCTGTTATAGTGGAAACAATATTGGTAAACTAAACTGACATGTCATTGTTTAAGACCACACAACATGTAGCTACTCCACATAGAGATAATATGATGTGTTGTTGATTCAATATAGAAATCTATATTATATATATTTTTCAAAAGTGTTTTTAAGTCGTTTATGGGCTGGATCTATACACAGTTGTGTTGCTTATTATTATGAATACATCAATCAATCAAATGTTATTAGTACAGTACATTGTGTTAGACCTTAGACACAAAAGATACTTCACACACCAAAAACAAATAATAAAATAAATACCTTCCCACCTAACTTTGTAACTGATAAAACAAACAATAGAAGTAAAACAAACATGCATTATCATCTCACTTTCAACTGGTCTGTACTTGTTATTAAGGAAACTGATATTGATGAAACTGATTTGCTTGACCGTCTCAAATTGTAATGATTGTATGCATTGCTTGAATTGCACTTAACAGACTGTACGTGGTTTGTCTTGTGTGTCATGTTTTGCATTTTGTCTTTTTGTTTATGTATGTCTGTAAGTTGTTGCTATTGTCGGGACCCCCTTGAAAACGAGATGGTGCATCTCAAGGGGTTTATCCCAATCAATAAAAATGTCTATATAAATACAAATAAACACAGGACCGGATAAAACAAATAGAGTAAAATAAGAATAAAAAAATAAAAATGATGTTTCTTTATTTCACTTAAAGCTGTTAAAAGGCAAAAATACTTTACACATGTTAGTATTTATTTGACACCAAATCAGTGTTGACCATGTGGCAAAGTGAGTGTTTGACACACAGCTCATGGTTTCAGGGCCGACTCCTCTTCTGCGTTCTTCTTCTCCTCTCACATTATTTCATATAACAGATTATTTAGTGCCTTCATGAAGCCCCAGTGCGGGTCGTCAGAGCTCTACCCACTGATCTGTACGGCGGTCACATGGTGGTCTGTTCCCACGCTGCTCTCTGAGTCGCTGCCTGGCGTCCGCCTCGCGTCTGAGAGGCGACTTTAAGACGGATCAGACGCAGAGACGTGTCACAAGTTACCTTTGACCCCCGTCACATTTCCCAGGAGGCTTTGGGACATTTTGTACTTGTAATACTTAAAGTGCATTTTCCTTCTTCTTCACACCGTCTGTTTTTTTTAGCCTCATGGAATTAACTTCTCTTACGTGTTAAATAGAAAACACACAGCAGGGATCAGGAGGTGTTATTGACTCGAGGGATAAAAGACAATATCAAGTAAAAATATGGTTTTCTTTCTCCTCTCTGTGTAGTCATCGTTTGTGTTATATTCTGCTGCGTTTAAAGTTCTTAACAAATAATCTGAGGGGAATTTCTTGTTGTTTATTTTTAACGTGTGATGTGTCATTTTGTAAAGTGTTTCATGTGTTGTATGAAAAGTGCTATATAAATAAAAGCTATATTATTAAGTGTTTCCTGTGTGTCCTCCAGGCGCAGATCGCCTTCCTGCAGGGCGAGCGGAGAGGCCAGGAGAACCTGAAGAAAGACCTGGTGAGACGGATCAAGATGCTGGAGTACGCCCTCAAACAGGAGAGGTGAGGACGCACACGTGCAGAAATAAAACGTACATTTGATTAAATTAATCTGGTTTTTCTGTTCCACATTTCAGCTTTTTTCAGAATTCAGAAAAGATTCGGATGTTCTTTATGTTTTTATTCTAAAAAGGAATGTGCTTTGGTGTATATTGGTTGATACATAAACACAACAAGAGAAATAAAACATGTGAAATACAGTAGGAGCACATCTTGAAATGTTCTAACGACATTTGTAAAAAAAACGATATTAAATTCAAATAGATTTAAAAGATATTCAATAAAATGCTATTTCTCTTGGTGTATAATCGTACAAAACACAGTAAGAGAATAACACGTTTTAAAGAGCAAATATGTAATATTCTAAAAACTATTGTAAAAACTATTATAAAATAAAAACAGATTTTGTTTTTTATATACAAATAAAATAAAAAAGGAAAAACATGGTA